GCTTGGTAATAGTCAACAGACAACTCTGTCCCACAATTACGTTTATTAAAAACTGACAAACAAAACCTGTACAAAAAATAGCCCCAGTCACTTCTGCACCAGTCATCTTGGGAGGCGTTATCGCCTGGGACCCCCTCGTCCTCTGCCACGGCCACGTCCTCTTCCTCGGCCTCGGCCTCGACCTCTTCCTGCCACTGAAGCAAAAGAAAGAAAACAAGTGAGATTCCCTCTGCACTAGCCATACCTGCCCACTTACATGCAGCCCTTCCCTCCCTTTATGATTTTTACTTTGAGACAGGGTTACACTACATATAATCCAGGCTGGCCCTGGATTTGTGTTCCTCCTGCCTCAGCCTTCCAAGCCCTGGGATTACAGGTGTGTGTGTACCATACTTGGCCACTTGGTAAATTCTGAAGAGTGGATGGGGTTTAAATTAACCATATATAAAAACACGTATGAGCCTTCAAACTCACCAGCTTCCCTCTTCTTAGATTTCACCTTAGGTTCAACATCCACAAGTAGCGTGTCCAGAGGCAAGCTGTCTGGCAGAATGAAATAGCGAATGTTATTCCCACGAATGCTCAGTGTTTCCAGCTGCACTGGCTCTCTGTTCTTCAGGGTCATCTTCACAGCTTTTAGATGTGTATTCATGCTGACGTCTACACCTGCAGGGGACAGAGCAGAGGGTTCAGCTGGGCCCAGGTCACCCATCCTAAACAGCGCACGTTTCCAGGAGGTACGGGGCCAAAGTGGGGAGGAGGACCCCAGCAGTCCCAGCCCCAAGGACCTTTGACCCCTCCTGGCTGTGGCGGTGCTCACTGCCCAGCCGTGCGCCTCAATGGCCTCCTTAGCGCCGGCCCCAGCTAGTCCCACCCTTCTTCTTACAGTCAAGTCAGAACACACAGACGCTTTCAACTTCCCCAAAACCCATATCCAAATTTTCAGCTGTACTAATTCTTCCCTCCTCTCCCTCAGTAGGTGGTTTTCTTTCCTGAAATTAATATTCTGAAAGCTTCTACCTCCATGGGGGCGCTGATCCACAGAGCCCAGGATACTGACAAGTTCTGCTATGCTCCAGGGACTACATGGTAAGCCAGCATAATGTATTCCTCACTAGCCAGCATGATTACTCCCACTGTAATGCTTCAGAATGCATTTGGATTTCTATCTGCACATATAGGACACGAAAAGCCAGCTGCAGTAGTTGAAAGTGGGGGGGCCAGGGAGACAGCTCAGTAGAATAAGCACTTGCCTGGCAAGCGCAGGGTCCTGAGTTCAATCCCTGGTACGGGGGGTGGGGGGGAGGAAAAAATGGAGGAGAGAATCATCCTAGCACTCTGAAAAGCTGAGGCAAGAGGACTGCAAGTTCAAGTCTGGCCTGGCCAACTTAGTGAATTAATAAGACCCTATTTTAAGATTAAAAATTTAGCCAGATGCCATGTTGGCCCCGCCCCTGGGGTGTGCTGAGATGGAGATTTGAGACAGGGTGTGGTGGCAAGCCTGTAATCCCAGTGCTTGGGAGGCTGAAAACAGGAGGATCACTATGAGTCCTATCTGTGTAGTGAGGCCCTGTAGACCTCGTACTAAATTAAAAAAATAGAAAATAGTGAAGTGTGGTGGTGCATGACTATAATCCCAACACTTGGAGACTGAGGCAGCTGCAAGTTTGAGGCCAGCCTAGGTTACACAGAGTTCAAGGCCAGCCTAGACTGCACATCAACCAGCCACCCTGCCCCAAACAACTAAACTAAACTGAACTGGGGATATGGCTTGGTACAAAGGCCCTCGTTCAACTTCCAGTACTGTCACAAAACTAAAAGGCAAGAACCACCCTCTGGGGCTGGTGAGATGGCTCAGTGGTCTAAAGCACCTACTTAGAACAAGCTTAGCAAAGCACAGGGACCGCGGTTCAATCCCTCAGCACCACATGCCAGCCAGCCCCGCCCCCTGGTGGGCTGAGCTGGCCACACACACACACACACACACACACACACACAAATAAAGATATTTAAAAAAAAAAAATCAAATAAAAAAAAAAAAAAAAAAAAACACCCTCTGACTCCTTAATACCCAAAACAGTACTCTGGAGAAAGGACTAAATCATTATTTACAGATTTTTCTTTTTTTTTTAATGTACTTGGTACAAGGTCTCACTGTAGAGCTCAGACTCCTAGTGATTCTCCTGTTTTCAGCCTCCCAGTGCTGGGATTACAGGTATGAGCCACCACACCCCGTCTCTGCTTCCAGCTTAGCGCGCCCCGGGGCAGGGAAAACATGGCTTGTGGTGCCAGGGATCATACCTCAGTCCCTGCGCTTGCCTAAACAGGTACTTAGTCCCATTGAGCTATCTTGTAGGTCTGGGAATTTTTTTTTTTTTTTTGAAACAAGGTCTCTCTCTATATAGCCCAAGCTGACCTTTGACTTGTGCTGATACTCATGCCTCAGCCTCCAGGGCTAGGATTACAGGTGTGTGCCACCATGCCCAGCACTATTTGTGCTTCCTCAGATAAGGTTATAGATCACATAACCTTATACCGTACAGATTTGCTTTCACAGCAGCTGGTGCTGTGAAGTTCCAGTAGGTCCACAAACAGTGTCAGTTTAATACTTTGTTTCTTTTGATTTACTCAGATGCTGATCTACACATTATAAAATTACCTATAAATTTACAATTTCAAGACTTTAAAGAATGGGAATATATTAAGACAGTATTTTCTTTCATCTGATCTATTTCACAGTTTGCAATTTTTTGGGAACATCCACTAGGAGCAACAAAAATAGACAAAATGTTATGTTAATAGTAATTTCAGAGGCCAGGGAGATGGCTCAGTAGCATAAGTGCTTGCCTGGCAAGCACAAGGGCTTAAATTCAATCCCTGGTTCCGCAAAAAAAACCAAAAAAAAAAAAAAAAAAAAAAAAAAAAAATTAATTCCTTAGTAAGGTGAAATTACGGTTCCCCAAGCTCTCCCTTATTCCCCAGCTATTTTTTACCCAATCAGACATGGACAGTCCAAACTGTATCCTCCAAAATGTTACAATGTAAGGGGCTGGGGCGATGGCTCAGTTGAATAAGTGCTTCCCTGGCAAGCACAAGGGCCTGAGTTCAATCCCCGGTTCTGCTAAAAAAATGAAACAAAACAAAACAAAACAAAAAATCCAGCAAAATGTTACAGTGTAATAGGGAACACAACAATCTAACCAAAGCACAGTAGGGGCTGGGGAGATGGCTCAGTAGAATAAGTGCTTCCCTGGCAAGCACAAGGGCCTGAGTTCAATCCCCGGTTCCACAAAAAAAAAAAAAAAAAAATCAAGGGTCCTGAGTTCAATCCCCGGTTCCACAAAAAAAAAAAAAAAAAAGCAAAAGCACAGTGACTTCAAGGTAGAAGCAGCAGCATTCCAGACAGGGAAGACACAGGAGCAAAGGCCTCAAAGCACTCAGGGAAACCTGACAGTTAGCTTGGTCACAGCTGAAGTACCTGAATAAGACCTCAGTGCGGTCAATTAATTTAGACCAAAAAAAAAAAAGAGGATCACCACCACAATAACGTTCACTAGGAAACCAAAAAGACTTCTGGTCCCAAAGTGGAAGAGATGAGGAAACAAAAGCCCAAACAAGACAAAAGTGTTATTAAAACAGAGTCCAGGTATAGTGGCACACGCCTGTAATCCTAGCACAAGAGAGGCAGAAAACAGGAGGATCACAGATTCTGAACTGTGTGGTAAGACCCTGCACAAAAACAAAATAAACCACCTAAAAAAAAGTTCAACCTGCATACCTGTGATTGTTCCATGGACCTGTGTTCCATTCTTCAATTCAATGGTGACAGTTTCATGACTCAGTTTCATCAAAAATCTATAAAAATAGGGAAAGAACCATGAATTCTCACCTTTAATGCTTCAGTATTTAGTGGAAGGGGTGAAATTGCTAGATGTTGAAAATCTGTAACATGTTATCTGCATCAGTTCCTATCAATCTGGCTAACATTTCAGCTTTCCCAGAAACTATACCCTCAGCATTTGGAAAGGAGCCTCATGTTAGCATTCTAACACAAACTGCCATTTGGAATTGTACTATTTTCTAAACCATAATACAATTTAACCTCCAATGAAGTCTCTTGATTCTTCCTGGCTCAGGGTGAAGATCAATCCCGGAGGCTAATCTTTTTGGGTGGAACCAGGGATTGAACTCAGGCCCTTGAACTTGCCAGGGAAGTGCTTATTCCTCTGAACCATCTCCCAGGCCCCTCCAATGAAGTCTCTTGAGAAACTACAAAAATTAATTGTAAGTGGTAGTACAAGATGCTTATTGTCAGGCCAGGGATGTCACTTAGTGGCACAACACCTGCCTGGCACAAATGCAAGGTCCTGAGTTTGATTCCCAGTTCCAAAAACCAAAAGAAGGTACTTATTGTCTGTGTAAAAATAAAGAGCCTCCTTATCCTCTGAGTATACTCTTCTCAATTTTAAGTACATACGTAAGAGCTGACTTTAATGACTTCATAATTGTTCCCAGCTAGTTCTCCTGTCACTATATATTAAAAGTTTGACGGCTCTGCTCCACTCCGCTCCGATCCATCAACAAAAATGTCCAGCCCTACAGAGACTGAGCGGTGCATCGAGTCCCTGATTGCTGTTTTCCAGAAGTATGCTGGAAAGGATGGAAACAGCGTCACACTCTCCAAGACAGAGTTCTTGACGTTCATGAATAAAGAACTGGGCGCTTTCACAAAGAACCAGAAGGACCCTGGTGTTCTTGACCGCATGATGAAGAAGCTGGACCTCAACAGTGATGGGCAGCTAGATTTCCAAGAATTTCTTAACCTTATTGGCGGCTTAGCCGTAGCGTGCCATTCCTCCTTCCTGTCAGCCCAGAAGCGTTTCTGAAGGTCCCTGGGCCTGGCCTTACACTTCCCCTGCCAGATACTCAGATATCACTTCCTTCCGGCCCACACAGGCCCTGAGCTGAGCCCACCACCGCCCCATGTCGCCCCTTCTGCTGGGAGTAATAAAACCAATTTTTTTTAAGCATAAAAAAAAAAAAAGTTTGACAATATTATAGTACAAGGAAATGTCCTAATTATGCCTCTACAGATGAGTGCAAGTTTGTTTTCTTACTGTTGCTTTTACAAATCCATTTGCGAAAGCCCTCACCAACACTCGTTAATAACCTTCCACATTTGTCAACTTGGTACTCTTTTTGGAGAAAAAGGGTAATTTGCTTATCCCTAGGTAACTGTCAGACTGAGTACAGAAATATGCATTCTGTGGGTTTCCCTTCGTGGTGTGTTTGTGTGATGAGATGGAACCCAGCGCTTCAGAGCCACACTCACAGCCACCCCACACACATCACTGCCTCTCCTTCCCTCCCTCCCTCCCTCCCTCCCTCCCTCCCTCCCTTCCTTCCTTCCTTCCTTCCTTCGAATCCTGGCCAGTGCACTCTGCCAAAGCAGGTGCTTTAGTTTGCTGAACTATGTGGCTGGCCCTCATCACTGCCACACTAAAATAAGGCTGAGTTTTCTTCTGTATTTTCTCCTACTCTGATATTCATTATGTCTGTGCTCCTGGTCAGGGACACATTTTTCTGGTTTGAAATGGTGACTTGCTATGTTATCAAGGCTGCTGGAAACTCCTGGGCTCAAATGATCCTCCATGTACTCTGAGTAACTCATGTAAAGATAACAACACAACAGAACGTTGTCTGTGCGAAGACTGTACAAACAGGCCCTAAGTTCTTTTAGCTACCATATGTTTAGAGTTTTCATCTACCTGGGATTCGTTTCTTTTCTGTGCAGTCTGAGTTCTAAAATGCCTTTGTTCTTTTCCTTCACTGAACAGCCAGCTGCCCCAACTCTGTATGATGAGCAACCCATCTGTTTCTCAGGCCATTCTGTTTGTAAGACAGACTCGGGCCAGCCAAATAGTTCAGCAGATCAAAGCGCCTACAGGGGCTGGGGAGATGGCTCAGTGGAATAAGGGCCTGAGTTCAATCCCCGGTTCTGAAAATAAATAAAGCACCTACAAGCAGGCGCAGAGGCCAAGGGTTCAATCCCTAGGCCCCCTATGCAGGCCCCACCCCCAGGGCACAGTGATGTGGCAACTGAGACAGGGCATGGCGGCATGCCTATAATCTCAGCACTTGGGAGGCTGTAAACAGGAGAATCACTACGAGTCCAATCTAGTAGTGAGACCCTGAACACTCTGTAGACCCTTCCTTAAAAATACACACACACAAAGACAGGTTTTCAATATATAGTTCAGGCTGGCCCTAAATTCCTGGAGATCCAGTCTCCACCTCCCAAGTGCTGGAATTTCAGGAATGAGCCTCCACAGGCTTTTTCTTTCTTTCTTGAGACAAGGTCTCCCTATGTACTTCAGGCTATCATATGAATTCATTGGCTATCACACTGAATTCACTATGTCGCCCAATCTGGCTTCACCTGTGTGACGATCCTCCCGCCTCAGCTTCCCATGTGCTGAGATTATAAGCATGTGTGACCACACCTGGAAGTTCATACTCTATGGCATGCAGCTTGCAGACCACTGCATCCCCCAAGCTAACTGGTACACAGAGTGTTATTCACCTTCCCCACTAGACGACTGATGAAGCTAGGAGCATGACTTTTATGTGTGATCTTGGACCCATTTTGCAGTGGGAATTGAATTCAGGACTACATGCTGGCCAGGCAAAGTGCTGTGCCAGTGATACATCCTCAGCTCAATCCTGGATTTTAACAGATTCTCAGCTCTGTTTTGACAATTAAAGGGAAGCCATGGCCGGGGAAATGGCTCAGTAGAATACGTGCTTGCCTGGCAAGCACAAGGGCCTGAGTTCAATCCCAGGTTCTGCAAAAAATTGAGACTGGGTATGGTGGCACCCATCTATAATCTTAGCATTTAGAGGAGACTGAAAACAGGAAGATTATTACTAGCCTGATCTGTGTAGTGAGACCCTGTACGAAATACAATAAATAAATAAATAAATAAATAAATAAATGTTTGTCCTAGTCAGATGTGGTTTTCTGTACAGGAGACTTGAGACAGAAGGATAACAAGTTGGAGGTCATCCTAGTCAACTAAGCAACCCTTGTGTCATAAAGTAGCCAACCAGAATGGCTGAGAGGGTAGAGTGCACATCTAGCACATGTGAGGCCCTGGCGCTGGGGTCATCATAACATAGACATCCATGTGTTGAATGCCTTTTCAAAAAAAAATTTATTTCGGGGTCTGCAGAGATGGCTCAGTGGTCTAAAGCGCCTACTTGGAACAAGCTTGGCTAAAGCACAGGGACCGCGGTTCGATCCCCCAGCACCACATGCCAGCCAGCCGCGCCCCCTGGTGGGCTGAGCTGCCCCCCCACACACACTAAATGTTAAAAAAAAATTCTTTCAATAAATTGTTAATGCTGGGCCACGGAGATAGCTCAGTGGCCTAAGCACCTGCCTCGGCAAGCACAAGGATCTGGGTTCCATCCCCGGTACCACATGCTGAGCTGGCCACCAGGACTGGGCATGGTGGCACACGCCTGTAATCCCAGCACTGGGGAGGCTGAAGCAGGAGAATCACTACAGTCCAAGCTGCGTAGTGAGACCCTGTACCAAATACACTGGGGGAAAAAAACTGTTAATGCTGACTAACAAGAATCAATCCCATTCCAAATTTATTTTTATTTTTTTATTTTTTGTGGAACTGAGGATTGAACTCAGACCTTTTCTACTAAGCCATCTCCCCAGACCCAAAACAAGTGATGGTTTTTTTGTTTTTTGTTCTGGGAATCAAACTCAGTACCCCAAGCTTGCCAAGCAGGTAATACACCACTGAGTTACATCCCTGGGCCCCCAAATTTAATTATACATTATATTAACTCAGAATTTCAACTTACTGGTTTTCTCCCACTATTGACTTTTTCTTATTATTGTAATTGTCTCACAGTAACTTTTATTATGAAAGTTGCTCAGGGGCTGGTGAGATGGCTCAGTGGTCTAAAGCACCTACTTAGAACAAGCTTAGCAAAGCACAGGGACCGCGGTTCAATCCCCAGCACATGTCAGCCAGCGCCGCCCCCTGGTGGGCTGAGCTGGACACACACACACACACACACACACACACACACGCAAATAAAAAAAACTAAAAAAAGAAAGAAAGAAAGAAAGAAAGAAAGAAAGAAAGTTGCTCAAATCAGTACAGTCTGGTGGTGCAGAATTGTAATACCAGCACTCTGGGAGGCTGAGGCAGGAGGACTGTAAGTTTCAGCCCCGCCTAGGCAACTATAATCTGTATCTATAATCTACTCTATCAAAAGGAACAATCAAAAAGAAAATTAAATCTCTGAATAATCCAAATATATTTTATTAATTTTAGCAAATTCAAAGGTCTTTGGTAAATTTAATATTCATCACTGCTTATTATGTATATCATAGTCCTGCTTGGCGATGAGGATTAAAAAACAAGCCTAGGGGCCAGGGAGATAGCTCAGTAGAATAAGTACTTGCCTGGCAAGTTCAGGATCCTGAGTTCAATCTCCTGTACCACAAAAAAAAAAAAAAAAAAAAAAAAAGTGCTTAGGCTGTCCGGCTGTCCAGGAGCTCAGATACTTAAGACATTTAAAAATAACTAACTGTAGACTGCCATGGAGACATGCAGAGGAACATCAATAGTTCAGGAAGGGGCCTGGTGAGATAGCTCAGAGATCTAAAGCACCTGCTTTGCTTAGGCAAGCGCGGCACTACATACTGCGCGCCAGCCCCACCCTCAAGGCAGGCTGAGCTGCAACCTCCCCGCCCCCGCCAAAAGAAAAAAAAAAAAAGCTCAGGAAGGATGGGAGTCATATCTTAGTGGAATGCAATTAAAAGTCTGAAATATTGGGAGGGGGACCTTGTGGGCTAGCTCAGTTGTTTAAAGCACCTGCTTGGGCAAACTCAGACACAAGGGTCCGAGGTTAGATCCCCAGCTCCACAAGCCACACCATACCCACCCTTAAGGCAGCCTGAACTAGCCAAAACAACAAAAACAAAAAAACAAAGCAGGGGCCAGGGAGATAGATGGCTCAGTGGAATAAGGGCTTCCCTGGCAAGCGCAAGGGCCTGAGTTCAATCTCTGGTTCTGCCAAAAAAAGAAATCTGAAATACCCATCAAGAAGAGACAAGATGGGCCAGGGAGATAGCTCTGTAGAATAAGCGCTTGCCTGGCAAGCACAAGGGCCTGAGTTCAAACCCCAGTTCTACACCAAAAAAAAAAAAAAAAGAGAAGAGACAAGATGTGGTGATGCCTGAATGTAATCCCTGCATTTGGGCAACTGAGGCAGGACTGCTATGAGTTTGAGGGCAACTTAGGCTACATAAGTGAGTTCAAGCCAGCCTGAACTACACAGCAAAACTGTCTAAAAATGAATGAATGGAAAGGAGAGAGACAGACAAGAACAAGATAATGCTAATAAACAGCACAAGGCTGGGCTGGGAGTGTAGTGTAATAGTAGAGCTCACGCCTAGCACGTGTGAAGCACACACACATGCGCACACTCATGAAAACAAAAACCAAGATAAGATACAAGAGTAATTTTAGGTACTACTGACAGAACATTAAATTTTAAAAAAATGAGCAGTGGAAAGAGAGGCTTCTCTCATGTGTCCACTGGGGAGGATGAGGCAGGAGGACTGCTGCAAGTTCCAGGCCAGTCTGGGTTACACACTGAGTTGAAGACCAACCTTAACTACATAACAGAATGCTAGCATCATATTTATAGTCTAAAGAGAACCTAGGGCAGATACTCAAAATGATTCATTTTATTTTTATTGGCTTTTTTTCTTCCTGTTACCAGGGACTGAACTCAGGACAGTTACGCTGAACTGTACCTCCAAACTTTTCCTGAGACAGGGTCTTGACGAGTTGTCCAGGCTGGACTTAAACTTGTGATCCTT